GCGAGAAGTCGCTGTTTTTGACGTTGGGAAGTGCTGGAAGGTAAGGAGAAGCTTCCTCGATGGAGCTACAGTGAAAGGAGCCGGCGGGAACTATTGGACAGCAAGCTGTCCTCTTAAGACAGAAGTTTTGAAGCCTCTAGCCGATGAAAATCCAAGAATAGTTGCAGGAATTTTCTGGCAGCAGTCTTGGAGATCAGGAAACCCCACGTGGGATGGGGTTTGGGAGGGATTTGTGGAGGGAAAACAGTACAGGAGCCTTGGGGAATTTTCGGCCAACAGGGAAGAGGAACTTGAGGCTTAATTCCAACTTGGGTGGAGAGGTTTTGGAAAGTTTTAAGGAGGTGGGGTGCAAGGGGGATTTCAGCCACAGGAAAAGGAGAGATTTTAGAATTGTTTCCGAAAGGGTGAAGTGATTTTAGGAAACAATCTGAAAGGAGATCTCTATGCGGCCGGCGGCATAGGGAGTAGGAGGAGAGGATTGGGGAGGCATTCAATGCTTACTTAAATTAAGAAATTAAATTTGGAATGAAAGATTTCATCCAATTTCATTTGAAATTTAAATTGGCTATGAATTAGGAAGTTACAAAAAATAGGATTATAATTTAGGTAACTATTTTAAATTCAAATAGATTTGAATTTACTCATGAATAAAGTTAACTAAAATATAAAAGACTATTTTAGGAATGGTTTAATGGCAAGTTTATGATGGAGGGAAAAACCAAGAGGAGGGAAAATTTGAAAACTTTACTAAAATAGATTTTATAATTTAGGAAAGAATTTAAATTTCAAATTTGGGGAAATTTGAATTCAAAGACCAACTAAATTATGGAAATCCAAAATTAGGAAGTATCCAAAGTAGGCAATGGGGGATGGGAGAGGGCTAGGCCGGCGGTTTGAATGGGGGCGGGTAAGGGGCCGGCAGCAAGGTGGAGATGTAGGCGGTGTTTTGGTGGGTGGAAGGAAACGACTAGGGAGAAGTAAGATCGTGAAGAAAAGGTGGGAGATAGAGTTAAGAGAAATCAAAGATATAAAACCACGAACCCGGCCTTCTCCAAGGTTGGTGGGTGATGCGCCAATCTCCCTCTCCAAGGGATCTCTCTCCGATCTCTCAAGCTCTCTCAAGAAGTCCAAGCAAGAAGACAAAATTCTCAAATAATCGTTCATTAATTTTCAAAGAAAATATAGTGGCTATAAATAGCCTCGTATATAAGACTCAAAATAAAAAAGACAACGATGCCCTCAGGGCTTACATACGACATCTCTTTAAGTAATGGGTAAAAACAGAAAACAATTACAACATAACTAATAATAAAAGACAAATAACATAATAAAACAAATACATGAAATAATCTCAAAATACATCGACGTGATCGTGGCCGTAGATCGTTGGCCACGCGTCTGATATACGATTCATGCTCTGATGTCCCCACAAGCTGCCATCCCCATTTTTTATTTCCTACCTTGGCCAAGACTTTCCACCCAAGGCCAAGACCGAACATCAACCAACCACCAGCCCAAATCCCATTCCCAAAGCCGTCGGCTAACACCCCCTCCCTTTGGCTCCGCATTCAATATCCAACATTCAAACCCTTTCCTAAAATAGCTTCCTTTAATTTTGGAAACTACCTAAATTTATATTCAATTGAATTTGAATTTAAATTTTATTTCCTAAGGGAGGAAACCTATATTAAGAAAGTCCCTCAAATCATGTCTATTTGAATTTAAATGGGAGATGATTTAAATACCCTTTCATAATTTAAATTTCCTAACTTGACAACCCCTTTTTAATCATCCAATTAAGTCCCCATTAAGGGGCCAGCCCACACTTCCCTCTCTCCTTTATTTGGAGAAGATTCAAATTTAAATCCCCCTTTCAATTGCCTCCACAATTTCAAATTGGTTATTCATTACCTTCCATATTGGGTGAATCTTAATTTAGGAAAGTTTTTAATTTCAGATTCCAATCTATGTGAATTTAAAATTCCTTCCTAAAATAAGATAAGTTATTTAAGGAATACTCCTCAAATTAGGCTAATTTGAATATTTTTTTTTAATTAAGAGTTAATTCAAAAGCCTTCCTTAATTTAAATTCCTATGTTGGCAAGTCTTTTAATTCCTCAAATCAATGTCCCCATCTCTAGCTTGGCATATCGTTCTACATCCGTGAGATTTATTGAATTGCTGATAATAAAAGCTAATCTTGTTGTACTCTTCAAGATTGGGTGGTATTATCATAGATATAAATATTTGAGTACTCGTTTTGTAAATATTGAAGATTTGAGTTTACAAATGTAATTGACCGTACTATACATCTATTTCCTTTATGGAGAAGAGACATTTTCAATTGCTACAAATACTAGATAGTGTTTCTCTACTTTTGAAATGTCACAACTTTGAAAAAGAACGTGCTTCCAAACTTACTTGAAAGTATTTTGCTTTTATCGATTGTGAGAGGTGCTAGCATTCAGCTCAGGGCATGGATTTATGTCATGCTTCTTGGTGATTCAAAAAAGCTTTGATACCTTTCGAGTAGGTGTAAACTCCCAAGAGAAAAAAAGAAAATTAAGAGAAAGAGAGATCCAGAAATTATTCATTCCATAATAAGTCTTTAAAACTAGAGAGGTATTTATAATACTTAGGTAGATCAATATGTCACTAAAGAACCGACCTATCTAAAACAGGTAAAAAAGACTAGACTATTGTGTTATTATATATGTGGGCCCATTTGTCATTTATGTTGCCAAAATTATATTATTGTCATTTGCAAGTTGTGGAATGTATTTATTTCTTCTTTTTTGGTAGGCTTTCATAGTTGTTGGTTTTCCTGCCATGTTTGTAGCCCATGCTTTATATATAGATTGTACAATTTTTGATCCAATAATATATTATGCTGATGTATATCACTCCTCTCATCATGGAAATTAACCTTGCCTTTCAAGGTTGAGAGACGAAAAAGACAAATAGATGGCTATCTCATGTGGCATCATCCGGTAATTTAATTTACTTTGCAACAAAACTTGACCGCGAAGTTGTAAAAAGTTAGAAGGAGAAAAATGCATAAGTAAAAATTCATAGTGACTATCATTATTAGTTTTATGAACCTTTTTAGATTGTGTCTTAAGTTTTTGAGTGGCATGACAAAACTAGTGTTTGGAAATAAAGTCTATGTAATGCATCTAAGAATACATTTACTATTGGAATAGAAAATTTATCTTTAATGATGTGTGTATTAAGGGCTGTAGAGTTAATGCAAAAATGCGAAGTACTATCTTGTTTTGAACAAGCAATATTGGAATCGAAATTAGCTGAGATTATGACGAATAGTGTTGGGGTGAAGCATTTCAAAAACTAATTGTTCCATGGCATCCCTTTGAAAACTTGGAGAATGATAAGGACGGATGTTAATTGGTTAAGATAAGGATGGAAGATGAATATGATAGTCTATGGTACGAGGTTGAGGTAAATCTTGTGGTGGCTGAAATAAATATTGAGATTATTTGAGTAAGGTATATTGAATAATGGTAGAGGATGGATAAGAAAAGAGAAACCTCTTGGAGAAGGTGGCGGTTGTGGAGATGGGATTAGGCCTGCGGAACCAAGGATGCAGTGGAGTATGTGGATGGTCAATACACAAACTATCAGGTCTCTTGTCTATGGAGTCAATGAAAGCACGGATTTGTTTGAACATCGAATTATTGTAGAGATTTTTGTATTTTAGAGAATTATAATTCTTGTTTAGTTTGCATTGTGTGGATGGCTTCTGCCAAATCAGGATTTTTCATGTTGATAGTCCTTTGGTGGCTGCTGAAAATGCATAAAAGATGTTGTTCTTGATGAGAAAAAAATTAACCTGATATTATCTTGAATTTAGATGATGTTTGGACGTAAAGTTGGTGTTTGGTGGCAGATTCCAGCATGCAAAATCTTGATATTCTAAATTACAGAATTTGGGTTGTGAATATTGAAAAACTATAGAATTCAGATTGTGAAACTTGAAAACTGTAGCAATTTTAACAAAAATTTTGGATGCAGAATTCCGGAAAGAACAAAATTATGGAAGAAGATGCAGAATTCTGAAAAGAACGTAATTGTTAATGCAGAAGTGTTGAATTTGGTGGTCGTTGATATTGAAGAACAAATGGTTACTGCCGGTGTTGAGGCAAGAACCGTGGAGGATGCTGTTGTTTGGGCTGTCGTAGGGCTGGCTGATGGAAAATCTGTGGCTTGAATGTTTTGGTCTGTGGGAAGAAGTGACGGAACTAGCAACCTTGGCTGGTTTCTTGCTGCTGTAAAGAACAACTGACGGTAGATTCTTTGAGGGCAACAGGTTATGGCAGATGTTGTGGTGAAAATGGGGATTGATTCTTGAGAAAAATAGGGGATGGCTGAAAGAAGGCAGGCTTCTGGCCAGGCTGAAAGCAGCACGGCCGTTGGTTGTAGCGGAAAAGAGGGCTGGTGGGTGGATCATTGTGGTGGAGACTACTGAACGGTTGAAGATGATGTGGGGATGTGAGTTTAATGCAATTAGAGCATCATTTGTTATGCTTCTTGGTGATCCAAGAAGTTTTGGCACCTTTCGAGTTGGTGTAAACTCCCAAGATAAATAGAAGAAATTGGGAGAAAGAGAGAACCATAAATTATTCATTCCATAATAAGTTTTTATAATTAGAGGTATTTATAATAATTAGGTAGACCAACATGTCACCAAGGAATCGGTTTACTTAAAACAAATAAAAAAAAGACTAGACCAGTGCTTTATTAAATATGTGGACCAATTTGTCATTTATATTGTCAAAACTATGTTGTCATTTGTGTGTTGTGGAATGTGTTTGGTCCTACTTCTTTGGTAGGCTATTATAATTATTGGTTATCCCGTCATGTTTGTAGTCCATGCTTTGCATCTGGATTGTATGCTTTTCAGATTCAATATATGAAAAACATTATTTTACTATCAGCAACTGATGTTTCATTTATGATATTCACTTTTTTATGCTTTATAGAATCATTATGATGCCCAGAGAGCACTCGGAAAGAATGGCGCACAGATAAACAGTGTTCTCATAATCGGTGTGAAACCAGTGGACTATGCACAGCGGCAATACCTGGATGAGAGACACAACAGCAGTAATAATGCTAGCCTCCTGATACCTTTTACTCCTCGCACTTCATATAGTAGGAGCACAAGTGCCTCAGTGGCTCCTGGTGTTGTTGTTTCTGCTCGACCCAACTCTCATCTTAATGGTGGTGGGGCCTCTGCTACTGACAACAAAGGACAGCGTCCAGCTGGAGCCATTGCTTCTCCGGCAAAGTCAGTTGTGTCCAAAGTCATAGACTTAATGTTTGGGATATAGAATTCTGTCAAAGTACATTCCCTTTTAGTATTTTGTTTGTGCTTCCTATGCGATTTTTGCAATTCTTACAGCATGAGATGTAAGCTGATGGGCAAGGGTGATGTTGGTGTCAGCTTTGTGGCTCATCTGTTCAGTGATTTGAGGCAGAAAGACTGATATTTGGGTTTTGTATTGTTATGCGATTGGAAGTGTTGCTGAATGTTATAGAGTACAGAGGTCAACTCGTGAATCATTTTGGTGGGGCGAGTCTTCATCATGTTTAGACTAGTTACAGAAGAAATGTATATCACTCGTAGCTGTTTTGTTTTCTTTTCTTCATTATAATCATCCTAAAGCCCATAAGATCCTTTCTGTTAATTTAGTGATTTCAAAACTTCTGTTAACTTTTATTGAGTTTAAATTTATTGAATTTGGTTCGATCAAGAGGGAAGGTATGTAGCAAATGCTGATTTTCTCATTTTAGTATGTTGAAACTGCAAGCTCGAACACAACGAAATGATCCTTTTAGGCCTTTTTTATAGATTTAGTGAAGAATGTTTTCGTTTTAAGTTATCTGTATTTGCACGGTTGGCAGCCATGTTTTAATTTGATGATTTAAAGTTGCGATTAATGGTTGCACTTTTTTCTTTAAATTATTTTTTTATTTTTTATGATTGAAGATCTTTCGATTTGACTGTTGTTGATGGTTTTAAAATTTTCATATATCCATGTTCAAAAGCTAAATTTGTTGATACAAATATTTTCTTTTCTTAAGAACTATAAAACAAATTTGTTCTTCTACCTTTAAGATATCCAACAAATATGTATACTTTTGAACATGATTTTAACTTTTTACTTCAATACATATTTTTGGACATTCCCATATATGGATGTATCATAAGTTAGATTTATGTCCACTCCATAATTTTAATGGTGTCTAATGTATTGATTTTGAAGGTACAATATTCAAAATATAAATTACAATTTGTATAATATATCCCAAAATAAATTTGGTAAGGATGAGTAAATTAACATTGACCTAATCCTATTGAACAATATTTGATTTCTACTTTTAGTAACACCATTTTGTTGTGGATTTACAAGTGCAGGGAGTTGTGATACAATTACATTCTTAATTAAATAACTTTGAAAGACTTTGGTTTGTTAAAGGTCACATTGTGGGCATTGACAAATGGTCACCTACTTATTCAACAAATTCCTTGAAGGGTCTTTCGGCTCCGGTGTGAATTAGACTTCCTAATATATCGTTATATTGTTGGGATGATATAAACATTTGCAGACTTGCATCTCAAGTTTTTTTTTTTGAAAACCAATGCATCAAAATGCATTAAAAACAGAAGGAAAAAACAACACAAACAACTCACTCAAGGAACATCTAAAGCATCACACTCCTTCAAACAATACAAGAAAGGAGGAATGGATTTACCATGGAGATCTTCCCACATAAAAGATCTATCTATAGACAAATTAGCACAAATGTCCGCTAATTTGTTACCAAGTCTACTAGAATAAGAAAAAATAATTTGCTTGAAATCAAGTAAGAAAGCTAAACTATCCTCAATAACATTGCTAACCTTCCACCTTTTGACTGAAATTTGAAGCAAGTTGATGATGTTCCGGTTGTCACCTTCAATGATAACTCCTAGTGCTTCATACATCCAATCTTTCACCACATTCTTTAGAAACAACACAGCACATAATTCCGTTTGAGCCGCATCCCAGTGCAGTATTGGATTACTGAAAGCTAGCAGGAATCGACCCTTGTCATCTCTTACAACACCTCCAATTCCAGCTCTGTTGTTCTTCTTTAGAGTACCATCTATATTAATTTTAATCCAACCAGGAGGAGGGGGATACCAATGAGAAGACAACAATCGCTGGTTAGCATCCCAGATTTTCGGTTGGAGATTTGAAAAGTTACTTTTTACTGCATAAGAAATAGCATTTGCAGCAATTGAGTTTTCAGAATCCTCCTTGTCCGTGTGAATTAATTTGCACATACTCTTCCATACAAGCCATATAACTGTGCAGAACATATTTGCTGCTAGACATTCCCTCCCTACCATCTTCTGTAATCAACCAAGCAGTTCTCAAAGCTTTCAAAAACAGGAACCTGAAATCCCCATTTATTCAACAGAGCAGCTACATTCCTTATTTTAAAACACCTCCCTCCAATATGATCAATGTCTTTTATAACGTCACATCCCCTTGGGCAACCAGAAAAAGTTTTGAGCCTTCTACTAACAAGCAGATAATTAGAAGGAATGGCGTTATTGTAAAGTCTCCACCAGAAAAGTTCTACCTTTGGATTCAGCTTTAAACTCTTCATCCAATTCCAGTGATTAGTTCTATCCTCATGATCCGCATCTACATCCACTGTTAGAGCTGCAATGGATTTCCCAGAAAACTTCCTCATAAGCTCCAATTTATCCGAAATCCCTCCTTCTACAATCGATGTTCTCAGGATTAAATCAATAAGTTGCTCTCCAAACACTTCTCTCAAATTATCCAACTTCCATTGACCCTCTTCAATAAAGTAGCTGAGTTTGAATTCAGAAGGATCCTGAATATTTACAAAACTAGGCCATCTAGCAATACACTTGTCCAAGATCCAAGTGTCATATAACCAATTAATCGAAGATCCAGTCGAAATTTGCCATCTCACTATCTTTTTAAGGTGTTTAGCCCCCTTGGTTATGATCTTCCAAGTAGGTGAACATCCAATTTTTATATAAGAAGACCACACATCTTCCCCATATTTAGCTCTCAACACCTGGTTCAACAAAGAATCTGGTTTATTGATGAAATTCCAAGCAAACTTTGCTCTTAGTGGACCCACCTTTTCAACAGCCGAGAACATCCCCCGGCCACCTTCACTTTTTGACTTACATAATAAATTCCATGAAGTATAATGAATTCCAGCTTTACCATTATTCTTACTCCATATAAACCCCCTACACAACTTATCAAATTCTTTTAGAATGCTTAAAGGAACAAGAGAGAGAGAAGATAGGAACAAAGGTAAAGAAAGGAAGGCATATTTGGTAAGAACCAATCTACCTTCAAGAGAGATGCATCTCTTTCCCCAAATATTTAATTTGCTAGCAGCAGAGTCTAGCAAACACTAGAAATCTACAGTTTTCAATCTCCTTAAAGCCATTTTAACCCAAAGGTAGGTAAGCTCTTTCACATGTTTATAATTCAGAACATTGATTACAGCTTTCTCCATTCTTCTCCTTCTGTGGTTGCCAAAGATAATCATGGATTTGGATTCATTTACTTTTTGTCCCGTCCACTCACAATACTTAGAGATGATCCGTTTCAATTCCTTTGCCTCCTTTAACTTGGCCTCAGAAAATAGTAAGATGTCATCGGCATAAAGCAAGTGAGACACCTTGGGAGCTAGCCTTGAAACAGAAACTCCTTTTTCCATTCTTCCATTTAAAGCATCAAAAAGAATTTGGGAGCATAATATGAATAAAAATGGGGATAAAGGGCATCCTTGCCTAAATCCACACTTTCCTTCTATCCAACTAGTTTTCCTCCCATTAATCAAAATGCATAATTTGGGATTAAGAACACACTGCAACAAAAGTTCTATAAATTTGATTGGAAAATTGAAATGAAATAGAACTTGCCTTAATGTCAACCACCCCATACTATCATATGCCTGCTCCATGTCTAGTTTAATAGCAAACATCCCCTTTTTACATTTGGACCATCTGAACCTGTTAAAAACCTCCTGTGCCAAAAGAACATGATCAGATAAAGAACGACCTCTTACAAACGCTGCTTGATCCACTGAAACAATCTTATGAATAACTCTTTCCAACCTATTTGAGAGCATTTTAGCAACAATTTTGTAAATAGTCATACAAAGACTAATCGGATGGAAGTTGGTAGGTTCTTGAGGACTTTTGCTCTTTGGGATTAAGACTATCACTGTCTCTTTCCAAGACTTATCCATCTTACCTGCCATGAAGAAGTGAACAGCCGCATTCCACACATCTTCTTTGATCACACTCCAAAAGTCTTTCATAAATGAGAATGATATCCCATCTAAACCTGGGGAGATATTCCTTTCTGATTTTTCCACCACCTGCTGCAATTCCTCCCTGGTAAACTCAGCTTCAAGCATATTTTGATCCGCCTTCCCAATGACTGCTGACGGGTTTGGCCATCCATCCAGTGAACATTTCCTTTGTTTCCATTTTAACTTGAAATAATCTGAAAAAGTTTTTTGAATTTCTGCTTCATCCTCTATGATCACACCTTCTACCGTCTTGATATGATGGATCCAGTTATTACTTCTACGAGCATTTGCAAAGTTATGAAAAAAAGCTGAGTTGCAATCACCTTCCTCCATCCACCTTACCTTGGCTCTTTGCTTCCACCATGTGTTGAGCCTGGCCAAAGTGATGTTAAGCTCGTTAATTTTAATCTTAACAACTGCAGTTTGTCGAATGAAATTCCTTCATCCGCTTCTTCTACCTGAATTTCCAGAATTTCCTTTTTCAAGTTATCTCTCAACTGAGACAAATTCTTATGTTTCTCTTTGCTCCAGAAAAAGAGAGCCCTTAAAGCTCTCTTACACTTCTTATTTAGGATACCAGCTGGGTCACCATAACACTTCTTCTCCCATATTTTTCTAACCAAAGCAGTTGCACCATAATAAGAGGCCCAAACCTCTTCATAACGAATATCCATCTTCACATATTCCACTGGTTTGAATATGTCTATCACAATAGGACAATGGTCCGAAGCAATGCGAGGAAGGTGTTTGACAAGAGCTAAAGGAATGCTGTTTAAAGCTGAGGAGTTGATTAGGCACCTGTCCAATTTCTCCCATATATGATTGCTACCAGATTTATTATTACACCAAGTATATCTTGGTCCCATCGATTTAACCATATGAAGATCGTTGTTGATTAAGAAACTCTGAAAATCCTTGGAACCTTGGGTCAATCTTAATTTCTTCCCTCCTCTTTTCTCCTCCTGTGAAATAATACAATTGAAGTCCCCTCCTATAACCAAAGGAAGATCATCAGAGCAAAGCTTACCAAGACCTTCCCAAAGAAAATTCCTTTCCTGAGCAACGGTGCTACCATAAACCGAAGCCACCTTCCAGCAACCTTTACCTAACACCTTCAAATTACCCACCACCATTTGGGAAGAATACTCTATTGCTGAAAAATCAGCAAAATCATTCCTCCATACTACCAATAGACCTCTTGAAAGGCCAACTGCCGAGACAATAAAAAAACTCCGCTTGTCTCCCAGTAGCTTCATGATTTGATTACTGTCTACTGAGTTAATCTTCGTTTCCAACAAACCAACAAAGAACACCCTGTGATCCTTGATCACCTCCTTAAGATAAAGAGCAGCCTCCACCTTCTTGGCTCCTCTACAATTCCAAAAAAGTAAAGCACTCATTGTTTAAAGATGGGGGAAGGGCCCCCAACCTTTTTTAACTTTCCACTCTCCCCTTTCCTATTATGAGGAATGATATTACCTGCTCCCAGGGATTTCAGCTCCTTGCTGAGTTTAGCTTTCCTTTCCAAAGAACGGTTCTTCCCCGAGATTGGCTTCTCCAAAGAATTATCCTTCTTTACAGATAACCCCGAATTTCTCATCCCATTCCCATCCTCAGAACATAAACTGCCTCCATCCGGAGATCTAATTAATTCTCCTTCCTCAGGACCTCTATCAACTTTATCATCTGCAACCACCTGATTTCCTTCCTCCTCTAAATAAGAAAGAAAAACAAATTGATTCTGAATCTCAACAGCAACGTTCATCTCTGGTATAACTTTAAGATTGGTTACTGGAATATCAAGCTGCTTATCAACATCCAAAACCTCTTCAGAACTAGCCTCCTTAACTGGCACCTGGGAAGCTCTAACTTTAAGATTGGTTACTGGAATATCAAGCTGCTTATCAACATCCAAAACCTCTTTAGAACTAGCCTCCTTAACTGGCACCTGGGCAGCTCTAACTTCATCCTCTGGCTTGTAAACCAGATTAATAGCCTTCGAACCAATCGACTTCTTCTAATTAGGAACTCCAATCTTTGGGACGTAAATTTTCTTCATTTGGACCGAAAATTTCCTATTGACAGATTTTTTGTGATCCAAGTTTCTCCTAACATTTTCCTTCCCATGTTTAACAACAGTCCAAGGTCCATCAGCTGCTTTATCCATCTCATTAAGAGGTTTAACACCAACTAAATGAGGATTCCATTCTTCAGCCACTGTAGCACTATGATGAACATCAGAATCAGGCCCCACCTTTTCTTTTATTCTTATACAAGTATTCCCATCATGTCCAGCTTTTCCACATTCACTACAAATTTTAGAAATTCCCTCATATTCTACCTTTTGAAAGTATTTTCCTGATAAACCTTCCACCCATACTCCTTGAGGCAATTTCGAATTGAGGGGAATGCGAATACAAACTCGAGCAAATTCCCTCCTACTCCACTGAAATAAGTTTCCATCCAGAAGATACGGTTTGCCTACCTGAGAAGCAATTCTGCATATGTTGATCTCATCCCAACATTGTAGGGGAAGATTAGGCAACCTAATCCAAACCGGGGAAGAAATTCCCTTAAGTGAGTTGGGATTGAAATTTACAGACCATCTATCCAGTCCAACCACATGACCTCTAACCCACCAAGGTCCACCTGCAAGAACCTTCTCAACCGCTGAAGCATCTTCAAATGAACAAAGAATCCAACCAAGTCCCAAGCCAGTAATATGGAATTTTCCAAACTTATCCCACTGTCTTCTCAAATCAGAACTAGCAGCAAAAAAGGGGGTGTTCTCACCAGAAATCTTAACTACTACAGCTTTCTCCAACCGTTTGGCATTTTCCGCTTCTTTCTCTTCTTGCAGGAACACCACCTTTCCATCATCCGAGAGAAAAGAGCCCTATTCCAGATTATCCACCTTCACATAAGGTTTCTTCACCCACGCCGATTGAACCTGTTCTTTCTTCTCCTTACTCTCTTCTGCATTAACATCATTCAAAATAGCTT